AAGCACAAGAAACAGGCTTAACTGTAGTCGCCATTCTCCATCAACGTCATGGAATCCTCAGTTAGCTAGTCAAACACATGCTTTTTCTCAGCTGAAATTTTCTCCTTTCTGTTATTTGAAGCTCCTTTCAACCTTCTCAGAGCTTGCAAAACCTGTCAAGATAAATTAAAATTAGCATTAAATTGTCCCCTTGTAACCTGTTTAATTACCTCATAGAGAAAACGAATTTAATATCTGAAATGTAAGCTGAAGATGACAAGTGTAAAAACCTCTGTATCTAACATTCCAAAGCAATTGTAACTTTGACCAAATAAAGAAAAAAATATCTAGAAGACATTAATTATTATAAATCCAAATTAGCCTCGAAATTTAGCGATAATGTTTGTACATTGTTGCTCGATATTAGTACTGATTTACTGCTGTTTAAAGGGTTTAACTTTGATTTGTTTTACCATACTTCGTAACTTGGTTCAGCTTAATTTGTTTTAGCTGCATCAAAACCCAGTTTTTCCCTGTTGATTATTATGTCTAAATGAAGATTTTAATTATTGTTTTCATTTTTTTTTCTTGGGTATCTCTTTGCTGCAAAACAGTTTTATGTTTTTATTGCTTTTTTAAGGATACTTTTTTGCGCACCTTCTGTTTGTTGATCTGTCTTACTCATAAAATTGTCATCTGCTTGGTTTTCAGTAGGGAGCAGAGTTCGAACAAAGATACTCTCATCGTAACAGAAAAACCCAGTCCTTAAACGATCTAATTCAACTCTCAAGGCCTAACTGATACAGTTTTTTGAGGTATACGTTTAGTTTGAGTAGTTTAGATTCAAATTACTCACAATTTTTTTATTGGTTTAAATTTTGCTTCCCTGCCCTTCTTTTTTGGCTGTGGATAGCACATGGAGGATTTTTTTTTTCTCTCTATATTCATTTTCAGTTTCATTTGGGTAGGTAAAATGAAAGTTGATGATGTCAACAGTCCATCAACTTCAGCTGCAGTTTCCAATGGCCAAACCATGGTGCCGAATATTGACACACCAATTCAGCCTGTTCAGCCTATCATTCAGCCAGTGTTTCCACCTGCAGTTGTTCCACTTATTTCTCCAATACCTGCATTTCCTACACCCCCGATTGCCCACCCATTGGCACCTCTTCCTGTTCGCCCTCCTGTCCTTAAGCCATCTTTGCCTCAAAATGATGAGCTGAAAACTAGTGATTCAGAATTTGACCATGAGGATGAAGAGCAAACTATTGCTGGTGAATATGAGATCTCAGAAGAGAGTAGATTAGTTAAAGAGTGGCAGGAAAAGGCAATGCAAGACCTTCTGATGAAACGACGTGCTGCTGCACTAGCGGTTCCTACAAATGACATGGCTGTCCGGACTCGACTTCGCCGGCTTCGTGAACCCATAACTCTTTTTGGAGAAAGAGAGATGGAAAGACGGGGATAGGCTGCGAATAATTATGGCAAAGCTGGATTCGGAGAGGCAGTTGGAGAAGTTGATGAATGCTCACAACGAGGAAGAAGCTGCAGTTTCTGCTAAGGTGGAGGACATTGAATATCCCTTTTATACTGAGCGTCCAAAACAGAAAGGACTCAGGTTTTCCTCATAATTACCCACTCCATTAAACAAAAAGCTTAGTCTTAATAGATTTGGTTTTTCACTTTGCTTTAACAAAATTATTTATCAGTGGTTAAAAGGACTCAGGTTTTCCAAGCCATAAGTTACTCAAAAATTGCAGTTGTTCAAAATGCTAAATTTGGTCCTTTTAGGGTGCTTATAAGTTATGGCTCTGAAACCACTAAAGATGACAAGAATATAGAATTGTAACTATACTTTTTTTCCTTATGTTTTTCAGCTCTTTGAGTGAAGTTGCTATGTTGCGGTCGATGCCTAGGGTAAGGTTTCTGCCTTAAAGGGCCACACAAGAATGTGCAACTGATGTTACATTTTCTCCCGGGCATGATTATTTAGCAACGGCTTCTGCTGACTGAACTGCAAAGCTTTGGAACACGGATGGATCTCTCCTGAAAACATTTGAGGGTCATTTGGATCACCTTGCATGTATTGCATTCCATCGTTCAGGGAAGTACCTCGTTACCACAAGCTTTGATAAAACATGGAGACTGGGACACAGACATTTGTGTGGAGTTGCTTCTCCAAATAGGTCATAGTAGGAGTGTCTCCGGAATTGCGTTCCCCCAAGATGCATCTTTAGCAGCATCCTGTGGACTTGATGCACTTGCTTGTCTTTGGAATCTTTGCACTGGGAGAAGTATTCTTGCCTTGGAAGGCCATGTCAAGCCGGTAAGACTATATTTATGCAATCTTTTTGTTGGTTCCCAAATGCTGCATGTAGGAGCATATTGTGGTGCATCTCTACTAGTGGCAATACACTAAAATTCCTAATAAATGGTTATAAATTACTGTAAGTTTCACATGGATGCCTTACAGGTTTGAGGTTTTTTATACATGAAAAATGATAGTTTTGGTTGTAGCACTTAAGTCCTCAATGCTTCAAAAGGAAGTCTTTTAGATCTTTCATCTGATTCCATTGGAACTAGCAGGTGAACAGTGCTACAATTTTTGAAATTTTAAGGCTTAGATATGTAAATATAAACTATTGTGTTGAATTGCATTGCCTTGTTAATTTCTTAAGATAATTGTATTGAAGTTTTTAGGAGCGGAAGAAATCATTTTCTTTTTACCTGAATAGGTATTTGTTAACTAAAGTTCTACGAAACTCTGCCACTCTTTCGGGTTCTTGGTGTTAATTTTTCACCCAATGGCTATCATTTGGCCACAGGTGGTGAAGATAGTACTTGAGGAAGAAAAAATCCCTGTACATCATACCAGCCCACTCAAATCTTACATCACAAGTGAGGTCTGTGCTTCAAGAGGGATATTAATTAGTCATTGCTTCGTTTGACATGACTGCAAAGGTGCACCCTTTCTGAACACAAGTGCCTTCACATTTAAAGTATATTTTTGTTAATCTATCATCTAATCTTTGTATATGATTTACAGGTTTGGTCTGGCAGAGATTTTAAGCCAGTCAGAAGCTTACCAGGTCAAGAAGCTACTGCTTCAGATATTAGTGAAGGTAAGGTAACTTCATAAACTTTAAATAAGTAAAGCTTTCCTTTCTCTTTCTTTTTTCTCTTCTTAAAATATTTCATGTAGTTTTAGCTTTTGCCATCCTTCCCTTCACCAAAATTTCTAAAATACCATCAGCTAGCATTGATTAAAGCATTTTGATACCTTCTACGTGTTTTGCTATTAATTAGATTTAAGATCCTTTAGGTATAATTCACAGTGGAACTAGTATGACTGTATATTAGCAGTGCTGCACTTGAAGCTCCTTTCAACTCTCCGTTCTTTTATTAACTTTTTGGACTCTCCTTTTTTCTACTATTCATCTGTTCTATAAGGAGTCAGAACCTAGTATAGGAAACAGCACTGGGATGGGAAGGAGGGCAGAGGGGGTTGGAGGATATTAATTTTTCTTGGCTTTTCTTTAAATGAGTCAAATTTCTTAGCTTCGCTTGATGGAAACCTAGTGTTCAAGATACAGCCTCTTTCCCCCTTTGTTGCGTAATCATCGGCCTTAAAAATCTTTGCATCTTTCCACTTTCCTAGTCAGGCAAATAGTCAATGTAACTATCCTATTTAAGTACACCGAGCATCATTTTATCATGGCAGGTGGCCCGTTTATCGTGTCTCTCATGATCGAACGATAAATAGACTGCCGGTAACATTGGATTAAAACAACACTTTGTAACAATAAAGTGGAAAACCAAACATAGATTTCTTCGACATTTTGTTGTAACTTTGGGATTACAATTTTCACTATTTTTTTGCTGTAGCGAGTTTTTCTATTTCCTGACTTTTGTACTAATCTTCCTTCACATTAGGGATTAGTTGTCTGACTAAAAATCTGACCGTATCCATTTCTGAATAGCCCAAGCAAATGTTTGGTCGAAATCAGGGTAGCGTTAGTTCCTAAACAACAGGAATCGCCAGCATGCTTGCTTGCATGCATGCATGCAATGGAACGAACCTTGAAACGGAGGCACCTCTTAAGATCTATCAGGAAATCACCATCTCACAGGAAGAATGGTTTATTCAGCCACATTAAGGCAACATGTTCATCTTCAGAAATCTTACGTCTTTCAATTTCTATAGCTAATCACCCCCACCCCCCTTTTTTTTCTCTCCTATTTCTTGCTAAGCTAAAAGCTTGTTGTAATATATAATCTACGAACACAATACGTTTGCCAAAAATAAGCTACATATATTTTCAATGCATGTTAAATCAAATATAAAAATCACCCATCCAATATACATTTTCTATCAGTTTAATATATATTTTTATCAATTTGATACCCACAAAAATAAAATTATCATATTTTTACCTCCATTCTTATTTTGTCATCCACTTTGATATTTTGAATTAACATTAATGTTATATAAACATCAAATAAAATATTCAAACATGTCAAAAATTCAATCATCGCGAACTAAAAAAGTTACAGAAAATTTTTTAAAAGATTCAAAAAATTTAAAAAACTGAAATATTGTTAAAAATTATAAGATTAAAAATTTATGAAAATTAAAAAATTCGAAAAAAAAATCTCTACAATTTTTATAAGAATCCAAAAAATTCAAAAAATAAAATTTTAATAAAAATAAAATTTTCTTGAAATTTAAAAAAATTATAAAAACTTATAATAAAAAAATCTAAAATTTTTTGAAAATTTTCGAAAATCTAAAATCTAAATTTTTTTTTAAAAATCTACAAATTTTTAAAAAATCCGAAAATTGTTAAAAAAACTTCTGAAAAAATAAATATTTTTAAAATTTGAGACACTCTAAAAAATTATAAATATTTTTTTAAAATATTATGAAAATAAAAAATAAAATTTTCTAAAAATGAGTAAAAATGAGTAAAAAAATTAAATTAAAAATTTTATTTTTTGGGATATCAAAATAGTTTTTATATTAAATCCAATACAATTTGATTTGAAGATTCAAACAAAGTCAAACACTGGCATGAAAATGTCGTACAGATGGATTTGGTGCTTTGCATTTCAAGAATTTACCAATAAAGTTTTGGATAAATTCTAATTCCACAAACCTATTTGATGTAATGTGTCAGGAGATTCACCATCATGCGATAAATTAAGGATGAATCATGCTTTGCTGAAACGAAATATTTATAATAACCTGTCACTCAAGTTAAAAACATATCCCTTGAAACGAAGTAACAAACTCAAGACCATGAACTTAATGCAAAATAAGCCAACTAGATATCATGCCTACAAAAGCAATTCAGTAGTCACAACATCGCCAGTTCATCTAGAAATTTTCAGAAAATAAATGGGAAAACCAGGAAGCCAAAACACAAATTGTATGCTATCAGAAATTCTTTTATTCATAAAATTTTTGTAGACTATACATGCAACACATACTAACAGAGATAAAGGACAGCAACAACATTTAATGCACAGCTCAAGGTTTTGGCTCAAAACAGCAATTGTCTTCGTTTATTTGTTCTTTTAACATGTTTAATCACCATCGAACGGGTTCCTAAATTTTTCAGTAATTTCATTCTATATGCACCTCAGCAAGCTCAGACCATAATAAATATGGGAGATCCCCTACTAATAAAATAGAGTCTAGGAATGAATGAAGAGTGATCTCGTATAAGATCACAATTTCTTCGTCATAATAATAGCAAAAGAACTTTTAGAACAGATAAAAGAAAATGACTGATAATAAATGTAACCCTAACATGTGACCAAGGGTGGCATATCGTATGCATACCAAAACACTGCCAGTACCAACCTGACACGACCCCACAGGAAGGGCAGCAACAGCCCGCGACAAGCAAACCAGCCAGCAAGTTAGGCAACTGCTAAAAGCATTTTCAATGAGACCAGACAAAAAAGGCAGCAACAGCCTGCTACAGGTTATTCATTGGCACTCAATAGTTACCCACGAGCCACATGTACCTTGGAACAGAATTGGCACAACCACCACTTCACAGCTACGGTCATGGTCAATTTTGCTACAACTCAAACATTAAGCAGAAGGGTGTGGTTAAACATGATTAATGGAATACACCAATCAAACAATTAAACAGAAACAAGTTATTCTGTTCAATCAATGTAATCGCAAGGTTCAGACCAGACATTACATTTTTATTTTAGTAAACCGCATCACGTCTAATGCATCACAGGTCCATCAATCGCAGCATTCCACAGGTCAAAAAAATCATCTTGGGTCCCTTTTATACCATCACAGCAACTAACCTCAGTGCCAATATTTAGAAATCAGCAGAACAGAGGATAATCAGATGGAAACATCAGAAACCTGAATGATGCAAGCCTTTACAGAAACCAAAACTAGACTACAGATCTTACCAATCACCATATCTTTCAGTTAAAAAATAGTTAACAAACTTTCACTGCAATCAGCATACTGATATAACCAGCATCACAATCACGATCATTCATCTACAGATACATACAGCATCAACAGCCACAACATCAACATCATGTCACATCATGTCCAATTGCCCAAGTCACTCTTTCCCCGAACATTGCTATAAAACCCAACAGATGGTTTGAGATGAATCAGCATTCTAGGAAAATAAAAAGTTAAAAAATTTTAAAAAATCATTACACTAAAGTGGTTCAATGAACTAATTAGGGAGACAAATATCAAGCAAAATCAAAGCCAAATATAAGATCTAAAGGGAGGAAGGGGTGCAAGTTGCGATAAACAAACTTACATCACAAAATCCTTGGTGTGTAATGAAACATCAAGAACTACATAAGTTCAGACACCATGACAAAGCTTACGTAATGGAGAAATAAGGTTCAGGACAGTCAATTAAAACACTAAAAAACCCAGTCCTACCAATACTAGAAACGCATGACATTTGAACGTTCCCAACATTTGCAACATAGAAGAAAGAAACATGCTACTTAATGTATCCAGGAATTCCCCTGCTATCAGCGATCATTCCTACAAAATACAAATACAAAAGTAAACAGTCAAAAGTTAGAATCACCGCTTGCAGGGGTAAATTTACCCAAAAAACAAAGACTGAAAATATGGGAGATGAGAGGGGGGGGCGAGGGGAGGAGGTGGAAAGAGTATTGAGATAATGAAAAAAGCTCACATCAACGTCTGAGTTTCGAGGAGATGGGCTCCGAGAATCAGCAGGACGACCTCGTGGTGAAACACTTCGAGGACTTGAGGACCGTCCATCACGGCTGCGTCTATCAGGACTTTCACCCCTAGGGGAAGATGCCTTGCGTGGAGAAGGACTCTTTCGAGGACTAGGGCTGCGGCGAGCAGGAGAAGCACTGAAATACAAAGGTATCGCAATAAGTAGCTTAAGAAAATGGAAAAATAAAAGAAGCTGAACATCCCGAATCACAAAGTATAAACCTTATTGATCGACTACTACTCCGCCGATCATCATCATAGCGGCCTCTTCCTCGGCCTTTAGAATAGTTAGGACTTGCACTACGGCTCCTGCTTTGGCGCCCATAGTCTTTGTCTTTCCCACGATAACGATCACGTTCATACCTATCATAACTTCGACTACGACTTCTTCTCCTATAATCCCTATCTTTGTGATGGTCATCCCGGTGCCTGAAGATATTAAACATAACAAACATCAGATATCCACAAATAAGACCATAAAGAAATATAATTAATCCATATTGGTTTGGCTATTCAAAAAAGCTTAAAACGAAGCACGTATCCAAACAAGGCAGTACTAGACTTCTCTCTGAGAAATCAAATCAGATAAAAGAATGCTAATTTACATTTATCAAGATATAAAATGGGTAACAAACAAAAATCAGTTTATCCAGACATTCACTGTGGGAACAGGCAGATAAACATTGAGTCAATGAATTAGCTTAAAAATACCAACAACTAGCACCAACACGTTCATGATAACATTATCAACAGAGCTTCAGTTGATAAGGAAAAAGCATAATAAACATGAATTTCCCTGTGGTTATCCCTTCATCAACATCTCTGATAGTTCATTCAGAAAAGTGGGCAGACAAAAAAGAAAATGCACCATATCATGCAAAAATGAGATAAAACAAAAGTTGTCTAAGCAGGAAACGAGTGGGTAAAATAACTTACCTTCTGCGAGGGCTGCGGCTTCTTGACCTGTACTTTGACTTTGGAAATGATTCAATAATCCTTCCTTTGTGACTGTAAGATAAATTAGCAAAGTACATGAAACTCAGAGCAAAATTAGAGACCATAAGACAAAATACCAGGAATATGAAAATGATATGAGGTTAAGTAGATATCCACACAGAAAAAGAAAAAACATAGATTGCCTCTCAATATTTAAGTGAGAAAGCCAAACAAGCCCTGCATACACCAATTAGTTAATCACTACACATTACTTAAGCCACTGAACATTTTCTGTGTTGAAGCCAAACAAGAGGATTTTTTCCTCCATACTACTTAGTTACAGTAATGGGAAAGTATTTATGTCCTACGTGAAGTTTGATATATGATCTAAAAAACGCGGAAATTAAACAAGACTCAAAACAATATTTTCATCAAAGAATTATTACACAGCATACATCTTCTCTACATTGGGCTCAAAATCCATTCAAGTGTAAAAGCAATTGAATAATAATCGAATAGCAATTAGCACACAACTTACATCCTCTCTGCATTAGGTCCATATTTTGCAAATTGAACTGTTATCTCCCGACCATCGACTACCCTCCCTGCAAGAAGGAAAATGCCCTTATATATTGTAAAGAATTACCCCCAAAATTAGTACAATATCGCAATCTATACATACAAAACTGCTAGCATGGGAAAAAAGGAGAGAAAAGAGTTGAAAAAGGGTTACCATCGAGCCTCTCCACAGCTTTTTGTGCCTCATCTGCATACTTGTAGCGCACAAATGCAAAACCTCGAGAATCACCGGTCCTACCATAATAAATAAAAATTATTATCTTATAATTTCCCAAAAACCGAACAGAAAAATTAAAAAGAGAGAGAGAAGACGAACCTTCGATCTTTAGGAATGAAGATGTCGACGACCTTCCCGTACTTGTCGAAGAGCGGAAACAAATCATCAGCAGACGTGCCTAAACAAATTCAAACCAAATCAAAAGTTTTAGTTACAGTACAAACTCGTAGCCGAAGAGAAGTTAACGAACCGGCGAGAGAGAGAGAGAAGCCTACGGAAAGTGATGTTGAGGACGAGAAGAGAGTATGTGTCGGTGATGTCGGGAGGGCCTGACCTTCCGAAGTGAGACATTTTCGCAGTTGAGAAGAAGAGCGAGGCCGAGTTGGGAGAAAAGATTGCGAGTGATTGAGGGCTAGGGTTCGTGGCTGTTAAAATTATAAACAATATATATAAGAACATTCGGAAAGAATCTTGCGAGTGATTATTTAGCATGAGATGTGACCGCTCTTGTTGTTTGGTTTAATTACAATTCTACCACCGCTTTTGTTTGTTATTCTATTTTTTGCCTGTTATAAATAGCACCTCCCCTACATAGAAATTTGCTTCATCACTCATCAAGATTATAATTCTTGGTATTCTAATTATTAAATAACTTCGATCTTATCAACCTCCATGAACGGTAAATCATAAATTGATTTAGCTGTTGAATTAAAAAATTAAATATTATCATATAATTTTATTTTTATTAAATTTATAAATTAAAAATAAACGAATTTAAATCATTAACATATGTAATATGATAAATCACTACTTAAATTTTGATTTTGATTGATTACAGCATATGCACCAAAGTTTTAAAAGACTAAAATTCCATCTGAGAACCCAATTAAAAGGCTCTCATTGCACGAGACTAATGAGAGAATACAAGAGCCTTCCAATCAGTAAAGGCAAATTTAGGAAGCAAACATGATCATGACTCCTCAAAAAATTTTTGATAATCTTAAAATTATTCTTTTGATATTATTAATTTTATTCTTAGCCCCTTTTTAAGTTAATTTACTATTGGTTTAATACTTGGTCCCTCCAATATCATGATGCTGACTTCGTCCCTGTTAATCAAGCTTTTAAACGAAGCCCTAAACTATAAAGATAGTTAAGTTTCAACCTACAAGTAATACCTTTTATTTTATTTATTTTTTGAATTATTATTCATATAAAACTTTAAAATTTCACAAATAAAATTAAAATAATATCACATATTTTACATATTATACTAATTTATTTTTTACTTATATCCTAATAAAATATTTACTAACCCTTTTGATATGGTATAAAATTTTATAAATGTTTTTTTTTTCTTTCACTTAACCTCCATTAAAAAAAAACCTTGTTTAAGATCGTGTTTTATTTTGTAAAAAATTGTGAAAACAATGTTTTTAAGTTTTTAATGCTATTAATGAGTCATTGAAGTGTTCATATAAAAAGAAGCATTAATAATACATTAACATATTACACATTAAATATTATATAGAGGTGTCAATGGGTAGGGTAGAGCATTACATATCTCCATACATAAATTTTTATATTATATTTATTTTCGTATTTATATTTAATGAATATTTTAAAATATATTAATTTTAATTAATCTAAAATAATAATTTATACTATTTAATAAAAAATCTATTTACTAAATTTATACAAATATATATATAATACGAGTATGGGATGTGTATTATATTACTCGTCCTCATTTTTGTACCTAATAAAAATTTAAAATCATATTCATCTCCATCCTCATACCAATAATATAATACACATCCACATCATTGAATAAAAAGTTGAGTTTCCCATCAAATATGAGTAAAATTGACATTCGTGATATTATGTTCTCAACCAAATAAAATTAAATAGATATGCTACACAATTAAAACTAAAAATATCGTGTATGCATAACATTAAGTATTTTTTGGATAATTGTAACATAAAGATTATATATTTATTACATTAAAGTCAAATAAAAAATGTCTCACTCATTGCTGCAGTTTGTTATGTCATTTTGTTTCCCATAATTAAATTTTCAAAAACTTTTATAAATTTAGTCAATGCATAATTTATTCAGCTGCTATGTTAAAATCCTACTACTTTTTTAATGTTTCCTAAATCTCTCTAATGTCTATAACCACTGCAGTGATTAATGCATCATTTGATTAAAAGAGGAGAATATCCAACTCATATCCATCAAATCACTGCAATTCCTTAGTAATTTAACTATACCATTAACAGTTGTTTGAACTCCAATAAACTAATTTTTGACTTATAAATTGATTATATCTTTAATAATCTACACATATAGAACATGTTTTTCGATAGTACAAAGCCATATTTCACAGCCACATCTAATAGCATAGCCATTTAACTAAGAACAATTGTAAAAATTATGAAAATAATTTAGTCAAAACCAATCTTAAGATGTCTACAATTTTAATTCCTACTTTAAATTAGAACATGCGAAACAAAAATAATTATGATACGTAAGCTTACACATCAACTATTGAAAATAATTATTATTCAACTCCAAATTCAATTTTTTATTGCAATTCTTACTTTTCTTAAATAATTCATGCCCACAACCTCTAAATTGAAGAAAAAAAAGACTTGATTCTCAGCTTGCTTACTTTCCCATTAACATAATCCAATCTACATCCACACTGTGGATAAAAGTTATTAATTGAAAAGCTTGCATAAGCAACTTCCACCAACATTATAAAAAAAAAAAAAAAACCTTTATTATGTAAGCTTTCATACAGCAATCTTCACCAATATTGCAAACTTTCCAACCCTAAGTAACAAAAAAACCTTTATTAAAAAATGTAACATTTAAAAAAAAAAAAAAAAAAACTTAAAGGATATAAAATTTCCACCACCAGCCGCTATGACTACCTTTTTGTTGAAAAGCATTTGTTGACCTCCATGCTACTTGAACACTCTATCATGTCTATCATGCATCTTGCATCTCTTTATTGTTTTCAGTAATTAGAAATGTAAGACTAATTTTACCATGAGTGCTTCTCATCATTTAGCTACATATTCACTTTAGAAGTATCTGAGCTTTCCTCATCTTTAATTTCACAATTAAATTGCTTTATCAAACTGTAATAATTTATTGAAATTAATATTTTTAAATATATAAATGTGAACAATTAGATATCTCATTTATTATTAACTTTATAAAGCATAAGTGATCTTTATCTTTGTAGAGATTCATTAGTTGTTATTCTTATTAAAAAAAAAAAAAAAAAAGAAAAGAAACAAGATTTACGTAAATTATTTTTTAAAAAAGCAAAATAATTAAATTACTTGAAAACTTTTATAGTTGACTAACCCCTAAGTTCCATAAAACTTCATAATAAATCTTACCTAAAATAAGAAAAAGCTCATCTCTAACCAGTTGAAATATAAGCTTGTAAAAAATTGAAAGAAATTGAAGATACGTAACATCATATGAAACTAACAATATCAACTTACCAAATTGCAAAATGAAAAACATATATATAAAGTAAGTAATATAATTTATTCCACAAAAAATAAAAAGACATTAAACACATAAAATCTATTAAGGAGAATTAAATCTAATAACCTTATAATTCAAGAAATTAGCACGACCAAAGGAATACTGTCAATAAGGTCTAAAAAAATTATACAATCGATATACTATTTATAATTGATCTGCGCCCTTAATTTTTTAGCCTATTCTTCGATTACATTAAAGATTTAACCCATTAACCTGTGTACCAGCAAAAGAAACATGAAAAGAAACAAAGTTAAGCACAATCATAATAGAGTTGGTATCCCAAGCCTTCACAATCTCATCTTTACATCCATATAGAGCTTGTACACATACCCATTGGCAACGCAAATCAACTTACAATTGTCTACAAAGCAAATCCTTTTGGATGGACTAGGATGAATTATTAGAACAAAAGCCTGTTGATTTATCGTCAGATACTATCAGAATAAGAAGCATCACTGATAGAATTTTATCGATATAATTTTTTCATTGGTAATTACTGAGAGATTATCGACATAATGTAGTTATAAAAAGAGTTGACTATGATCAACAGAATATCAACAGATTTATTTTCTTCGATAATCCATAGGTAAAAAAAGACATTATTTATTGTGAAAATTATTGATAAAATTTTTCATCCATAAAAAAATATTTACAAAAAAATTAAGGATTACTAACGAAATTTTTGTTGGTAATCCGTCAAAAAATCTGAATAAAATTCAAACCTCCTTCCCATATTTGGGAAAAGCCATTATCCTAGAAATTTCCCTCTCAAATCCCTAATTTCTCTCTCCCTTTCTCTTTCCCTCTCCCTCTCTTCCCACAATGAAAAGTCATTAGTCGATCGATATCTTCTTCCTCCATTAGTAATTAATTTACTTATTCTTTTTTTTCAAGTTTTTTTGTTGTTTATTTTTTGAGTTTATTGTTAAATTTTTTTGTTATAGATTTGTTGAGATTTGTTGGGTTTTTTGCTATATATTTGTTGAGTTTTTTTTGGGTTAAACTTCTAGTTAATTTTTATTAAATTTTTTTTTTTAGTATTGTTGAATATTGTTATTTTTTTTGGGTTTTTTTTAGTATTTTTGAGTTTTTTTTATTTGTTAAGTATTGTTGAGATTGTTAGGTTTGTTTTATAGATTTACTAACTTTTAAATGTGTAAGATTTATGTTGATTTGTTGGTAAATTTGGATTTAATGTGTATTAAGATATATATTTGTTTTTATAGATGTTTTATATTTATTTTTTTTAAAATTTAATAATAATAATAATAATAGAAATTAAAATTTTTATTTTGATTTGATGTTAAATTTGGTTTGATGTGGAATAAGATTTATATTTATTTTTTTAAAATTTATATTTGATATTTTTTAAAATTTATTAATAATTATTGAAATATTGTGTTATTATTGTATTGAAAAAAGGTTGGTAGAATTTATAATGTAAAATAGTATTATGAGTTGATGTATTTGAAAATTTTTTTTAATTTTAGGGTGCTGAATCAAATAATATTATGGAAGTTAAATGGTAAAAAAAAATTAAATTGCATTATTATGATTTATGAGTTAGTGTTTAATAGTGGTTCAGTTTATTTTTTATTTTTCAAAACTCTCAATATGAGTGATTAATCAAACTTAATTAAAATAAATTAAATTTTTTTTCTTTTTTTTTATAATCTATCTTGGTTTAGAGTGGACGTATATTTTATAAGGAATATAATTTTTTATTCATTTTCATGATACTAACTTTTATTATTTTCCATTTTATTGACTTTGAAAGTATAACAAACTCCATACATAGAAGTGCCTTAGAGAAAATCTCCTACACTACCTAGAATTGCATTAAGAAGCCTAAAATCTGAAGTATTTTTCAGTCATTGAAACCAACAATATTTTGATGTGAATG